GACAGGTCAGACAGACAGGTCAGACAGACAGGTGACAGGTCAGACTGACAGACAAGTACCAGGCATCTCTGGCAGCTTCCATCCCTCCACCTTCTTGCTGGGGACACTGATCACCTTCTCTGCGGCCCATTGACCGTCCTGAAGAAACAGAACCAGAGAAAACCAGATGAAGATTTATTATTAAAACCAGATTAAACCCTGATCTTTAAATCAGATTAAATTTGAGATCCAACTGATCGACAAACACTTGAATCTCAGAAGGATGAAGAAACCAGAAGGCCGTGGTACTGACTGGAGCTTTGTAGAATCTGAAGACATTTGATTGTAGAGCACAGCCCACGTAGCCCTCGGTGGCGTCGGGGTCGTGGAGGAATCGGACCTCGAGAGGAATAGCGCCCTCTTCACCCAGATTGAGAGTCTGCAGCTTCCTGTGGGTGGTCCAGTCCCAAACATGGATGGAGCTGCCGTAGTGACCTGGGAAACAGACGTGTTGCAGGTAGTTTGATGTTTGCACATTTGTAAAGTTGAATGGAACTCAATGTTAAACCCTGAGGTTCTGACCAGAACCTAGAACCCTGTGATATAAACTCTGGTGGGATCAGATCTCTGCTGGTGTTTCCAACGTAACCCTCTGTGACAATCGGGTTGTATTTCTGGATTTGAACCTTGAACCATGTTATACTGAAAGAGTCTTATTTGAATACAAATGTGGGTTCATGTGGAACAGATTGGACTATTAATGGCTTCTGTATAAAGAACCCTGTGTTCTGAATTCTTGCAGGGATCAAGAACCCTGTTGTTCCTCATAGAAGACTTGAACTTAATGGAACTGACTGAAGATTTACTGGTACTACTAGAACCACATGAATTATGATATAAAGTTACAGGAAGAGAAACCAAACCCCCGAACTGAGCAGAGCATCTCGAGGATCAGGACCAAGACTGTATTTTCAGGACGATGACATCAGGTCGTTAAAGGATTAAATGTCTCTGGCAGGAAAACGTTGACTCCTCCCGACTCACCTTCCTGGACGTGGGTCGGATTAAAACCATCGGCCAGAGCTTTAGGTGCGCCCCATTCAGTGCTGATCATGACGTTGTGTCGAGGTTGGTACCAGAAGTCGTACCCAAAGGGCACTGCTTCGTCTGGTTGCTCCCAATTCCCGACCACCTCAAACGTTTCACCATCCAGCAGAACGAATCCACCTGAGAGGACAACAGCAGCTGTAGCACTGAAACTGTCCACTAGAGGCTGCTAGTGGATTAGGTCTGTCTCTCACCTTTGCCGTTCCCGGACGGATCTCCCATGCAGCTTATCATGATCTGACCGTTACCCAGACAATGAGATGTGTGAGGATTCGCCAGGTTACATTTCCAGAACAGATCCACGGGTTCGACCATCTGAACACAAACAATCCACTCAGTGACGGTGACACCTAGTGGTTGGAGGCTTCATGTCTACAGGTTGTCAGTCTGTCTCATTCTTATGAACACGATATCTCAAGAACACTTTTAAGGGGAATTTCTTCAAATGTGGTACAATAGTTCACATTGTTGGGGTCAAAGGTCACTGTGACCTCACAAATCCTGTTTTGCCTCATGAACACAATATCTGAAGAACAGGAGAGAGAATCCTCTTTAATTCTGCACGAAGGATTTCGATCTCAAAATGCTTCAAAATGGTACAAATGTTCAATCACACTCAAAAATGAACAGATGAGAATTCAGAGGTCAAAGGTCAAGGTCGCTGTGACCTCACACTCTGAGGTGTGAACGATCCCCGACCTGCTGCAGGTGAGCGTGATGTTTACTTCTTGTTCTTCAGCGTCTCAGAGGAAACATGTTAATGATCAAACTGTGACTCAGCAGAATCTGAGGACAACAAGTCAAAGGTTTTTACAGCTGCAGTCCGACCTCAGCGTGAACCTTCTTTTTCCCTCTGGGTCTGAATCATCCAAACACGTGTTCAGCTCTGAGTTCACGTGGAAGACAAGGAGGACTCAGATGGTTCAGACCAGGACTCGGCTGAAGACCTCTGACCTCAACAGTTTCATCGTAAAATATCTCCTGTGTTCGTGCTGACTGAATAAAAACCTGGACACAGACATCTTTATTTAAGATCTGCTCACATGATCACGGATCAGGTGTGAGCAGCTCTGTCACTGGCCTCTCACTGATTGGCTGAGCTGCGCAGGTCGTTTGTACCTTGTGCAACTGCGGTGCTCTGGGATTCGACCCGACGTCGACCACGTAGATCCTGGAGGAGATGAGCGACGGCAGAATCAGACGGTTTCGGGTCTTGGAGACGTCTCCGAAGCAGCTGCTGCAGGCGTTCCAGCCGGAGTGATGTAGCTCGTCTCGAAGGTTCGGCATTGGCAGCCGATGGATCACCTGCGAGGACGGAGGTCAAAGGTCACAGCGGGTTCAAAGGTTGTTTGATTTTTTGGTTTAAAAATGCAGCAGTGACCTTACCTGACAGTAGGTGGCAGACTTTGGGTCGATGTCGACCGTTGCCAGGTAATCTGGTTTCAGGATGTCAGTGTTTCGGTAGATACACGGAAGGTAGACAATCTGCTCCCGAGGACCTACAACCACACAACAACACAACTGTCTGTATGTCTGTGTGTGTGTGTGTGGTGGTGTGTGGTTGTGTGTATGTGTCTCACCCTTCATGGCATCCAGCGGGCTGCGGTATCCTGGTCCACATCCTGAACAGCTTGCTGAGAATACACAACAACATGTAAAAGACATGATCCTGAGGGGTCAGAGGTCACAGTCTGATCTCTGCTGGACGACGTCCGGTCAGATTCAGGATCAGCAACTTCTCATTCTCCGACTTCACTTCAGCTTTTATTTATCAGACGATCACACAGCAGGAGGTTTAATAATCTGACACACAACGACATGACAACACACAACTACACAATACACAGAGGTTTATTAATGATCACACACACTCACACACGCTCACACACACACTCAGACTCACTCACTCACACACTCAGAAACACAC